TACTGTTATCTGGTTTAAATCCTTCAAACTTCTAGAGATACTAGGTATAAAATTGTTGCATTGTCTCCAGAGTCACATCACTGTTTGAAGGGTAGATTTTCTTAGGACAGAAAAATGTGAATAAATGGATAGATATGTGTATATGAGTGTGTGTGTGTATTTCTGAGAATGTAACTATATGAGAATATTACATTTATAGTGCATAGTTTGAATGCTCTATTAGTTTCCACAAAAATAGCAGGTACTAAACTTCTTTCAAAAGAAAAGTTAACAATTATGTTTAAACCATATTAGCACAATAAGCATCTTTTAATGGGAAAAAAGTGATTATTTCTTCAAACAACTGCTTTTAAAATCTGCTTATTATTCAGTTCTATAGTCTTTTTATTTCTTTTCACTTACAACAGTATGGCTTAGCAGAAGAAGGAAGATTTAAATGGCAATTGGAAAGTTAAATTTGGAAGTGAAAGGAAACTAAGGATCAATATAATAACCTTTGTTATTATAAGAAATAATTAAGCTCTTTTGTAAGGAGTATACTTCTTCCAAAGGAGTCCAGCAAAAATAGCTTTGTCCTCACATTTTGCACAATACAGATGTGCAAGTGAATGTTCTGCTGAGCCATAAATACAGAACATAGGTATCATGTTATTATTGGCTTTGTATAAAACATTGAAATCAGCTCCCAAATGCATGAGACAGTTTCTGCTCATATATCATCTGAAATGACTTGTGCCATCTTTGCCTTGACATATGATGAAGAAAGTGAAAAGCAGCTACTTTTCCTTGTCTTCTTCTAAAGGATTTGTGTCCTGCTGCACAGCCCTTGCTGAAACTGTTCTTCAGGGGCACCAGCTGCAGCTGCTGCCTCATTCCTTCGCACAGTCTGGTCATTTGCCTCAAACAGAAAAATATAAACAACAACAACAAAAACCCAGCCATGAGACTGTTAGCATATTACAATAATGGTCTCAAATTTGGTTAAGGGAGTGTATAGTCTTTTGTGGCTGATGGTTTGTAGGTGCTAAGGGAGAGATCAGAGTAAATATTCTTGTGGGTTTCCTGACTTAACATCTGTTATATAGTTACTTCAGGCTTTAGGAAAGTAGATCTACAGATCCAGCAGTCCTTTAATGCATTAGTGTGCATTAATGTATAGCATGATTTTGGCACTGTTACAGCACTTAAACAGCTTAGTCTTCCTTCTGCTAAAAAGAAAAAAATATACAAGGAGTATAGATACAGGCTGGCATGTGAGCGTGGCTTAAATAATTGTAGAAGCTGTTAGATGTGAAATTAGATTTGTGCATGGCTATAAAAAATATGATGGCAGGCAAACAGCTGGAATTTATGCAGATTCATATATGTTAGGTATGAATATGCATTATTTTATGAGACTCCAAAACCAAGTGTACACACAGATGTCACAAAAAACGTTTACCCTACTCATCAGATTGGAAGGGCTAGGTAACTTAGGGAGTAAGATTAAACTAATTCTGTGGCTTATAGAGCAATTAATATTTCCCACATGCACAAATTTTAAATCAAAATACTGGAATATACTAAAACTAACCTGGAAATTAAATGGGGCTGTAGTGGTAAGTTCATGCCATTAACTTAAGGAAAACATCTCAAATAGAATATTATGTTTAAAGGAATCTTAAATTCATAATAATATTTTAGATTTAGGCCATTTGAATGTACAGAGCTCAGACGCATCAGACAGCTTTGTCTTTCCTCTCATGTCTTCATCCACTGCCTACCTGAATTAATATATCCATATCTGACCTCAGCTAACAGGTCTTGTAGGTGAAGCTAATGTTGCATGCTTTGATCTGAAAAGCTTGACTTGAGTCCTGACCTAGCTGCCAGAGTTAAAATCTACAGAGATGCAGTCTTCTTGTTTCTGATAAGGAAGTGTCTGCAAAACCATTTCCCTCAAAGGAGAAAGGAAACTTGCCATTTCTGGACAACCCCCAGAAAACACAACCAACCAAACACTAAAAACAAACCTCTTCCCCAAGAACAAGAATCTGGCTCTCTTTTCATGTCCTACGGTAGAAGGGAGGGAAGATTGATGGAACGCTATTAAAGAATATTAACATTATAGTCAGTACTCACCTTTATTCTTGATTATTGTTGCAAAACCTTGTCAGTGCTGTGCAATGCTGTCTTTCTGATCCACAATTTTATTTAAAATTATAACAATGCAGCAATATTGGTCAACAATCCTTTAAAATTACATTCCTCTCTTTGCAACACCTGATAGTCTTTTATATGTAGATTTACCTCATTTTTTTCGTTTGGTCTCACAACTATCCTTCTCACTTTTCACTCTGTCTTTGTTTAATGAGGAAAAAAAAACAGATTGCTAACAAGTCTATCTGCATCATGACTGAAGTATTTATGTAAGGGTGCAATTCAAGGTGCTGCCTGCAATGCTAAATCTGTAAATAGTATGGCCAAATACTTCCCTGCTATGAGACTTCTTTCTTATATTTTTTCTAAGGATCCGCATGAAATGTTTTAAGTAAGTTTACAGCAAGACAACATTTATTATAGCAGTAATTTGAAGGGAGATCAGAGTATTAACAAATAGTAAACAAATTTTTCATTTACAGTTTTTAAAATACACGCATCTTATCACAAGAGCAAGAATTTGTAAATATTTTTTAAACTTTTTATTTTGATATCTGTGAAGACAAACAGTTATAGTTAATGATGAGAATTAAACTTTTGTTTCTCAGAAAAATTGCCTTAGATCTGATTCGTTTTAAAAAATATAAATACTAATTGATATTGAGATGAATCTTTTTGCTTAGAGTTAAATAAAGAATTGTAGCTAAAAGGAACTGGTTTTGGACCCAGACAAAATATTTGTGTTATTCACATATTTCAGAGGGACTTTCTTTCTAATTCAAGTGTGAGCCAAACTACTGATGTTCCAAATATAGCTCTATAAATAAATAAAAAAACCCCACGATTGAAGTTAAGCTTCAGCATGAGTATGAGAGCACAAGTTTATTATGATGGAAGAAGTAAGCACGATGTATTTGGGAAGTGTTTGGGGTGTAATTTGTCCGTCCTTCATGTTTCTCTGCTTTCTCCATATGACCTCAAAGGAGAAAGTCCACCTCGGCACTGTGCTATTCAGTGTTTCCCCCAGATAGAAAGAAAGAAGTTTTTGATATCTCAGAACATAAGCTGTTGGTGAAATGTTTTAGTGCTTCATATGTGTGTCAAAGTCTTTTTAATACACTTCTGGGCCACTGTATATTTGACAGGCCATTCCTTGCTGTGGATGTTTTAAGTCTGTTGGTTTCGATACATGGTTAGGCTTAAGCTGCAGCTCAGTGAGCAGCGGAGCCTCATCTCCTGTGCTTATGTATCCGTAAAATGAGCCCTAATGCCTTTCATCTGAGCATTCTTTACCTTCTCACTAAAATAGCCACCCCATTTATCCTCTCTGCCCCCACCTACCTTGGACAGTACAGCTGGCTGGGCAAGAGATAGATTGCTTTTACTGGTGAATAGCTGAGTGTGTTGGCCTGTGTCTGTGCTACTGGAACAGGGAGCCTGTAGGAGCTCCCTTAGACCCAAGCTCTTTAGTGAATGCACAAACTGTAAGATCTAAATATCAGCTCAAATCATCCTTGATTTTCAGTAGAGTTAATTTGGGACTGACCTCTGGATTCACAAGCTATTAAAAAAGACAGGAGAAAACTATTGTAAAAGCTTATTTCCATAAGGAAGCAAGCTAAAAATTGATCATTTGGCATATGCTTAAGACTTTTGTTGTTGATATGTAAGTAGTAATTAACATTTACAGCTCATCCATAATAACACTTTAATACATTGAAGGTAATTCAAACAGTGGAGTCTAAAATAACACTGTATCTGTGAAAATACACTTTTATATTAGGTTGGATTTGGCTTTTTCACATCATGGAATTTTTGGCATTTGTTTCTTAGATATTTATATAAAGAGAGACCTAAAACTGTTAGCAGTACAGTGAACAATTTGCAGTGAAATCAGATTAAGAGCTTGGCATTCCACTTTGTGCCAGGTGCTTACTTTATCTTGAGTTTGAAATTTATTGCTTTTTATTATTTTTTTGTATTTATTTTTGAACTGACTTAGTTATTGCAAAAGCAAGACTATTCATAATGGTTTGGGCCAAATATAGTGCAGTCAGATGGTGTGCGGGTTTATCTAAAGAGCTTTGACAACCTCTTAATCGTGATATGTAGCACAACATCTATTCTAGCCACGGTCATTTAAAAAATATATAATGCATGTCATGCTAAATTGCACACTAGCTGTTTGTTTAGTATGGATGTAATTACACCATAAACTGAATTGCAGCTGAAACTGAAAAACAGACCTGTAGCAATGTTTTCAAAGTTTATTGGTCTTTATACTGAAATACATCTTAGATTTTCCCAGACAACACCTTACTGTCCATTAACACTCCTTCCTGGATGAGGTAAGGGAAAATGAGCCTCAGGAGCCAGATTTACATTTCGATTTGACAATACGTTTAAGTCTAAGTGTGTTTTTAAGTAGGCATCCAGGATATGCTGCAGTGTTAAGGTCAGTTATTAGTTTGCTTGCCTGGAGATTCCTTCTGCTCTGTGGAGTTTTGATATTTGTCTCATACTTGAAATTCCTCAGTCATTGCACTTTCAAAACTTCCACTGACCAATCTCAATATTGATTGCTTGTGAACTGTAACAATCCCTCTTGTCTGTCTGATATCTTTAATCTTTTTGTGCATCTCCATGACTAATCAATATTTATATTGTCTTGGAGGCAATATATCCACATCCAGTCTCATGTGTCTGTAAACTGAAGAGTGTGTTTGGAAGACAAATTGGTGTAGAAGCAGCTAAACATTTTCCAGGATGGAAGAGGAAAGCATTCCAACATATCCTAAATATGAGGACATGTATGATGGAGTTACTGGTTACCCATTCATGTATTTTATTACTACCAACAGGTCCCATAAGCAGCATTTTGGTGAATAAGTATGGTAGCCGGCCTGTGATGATAGCAGGAGGTATCCTGTGTTCATTTGGAATGATTGCTTCCTCTTTCTGCAATAGCGTCCTGGAACTTTATCTATGTATTGGAGTCGTTGGAGGTAAGAATCGTGTTTAAAAGGTGTTATTATATGTATTGTATTGTATTATATTATTTCTAATGCTGTTCTGTCAATAAGTCTTACTGGTCAAGAACCCACTGTGCAAGGCATTGCACAAGTGCAAACCAAGAATGTAGCAAGATCAATTAATTTCAGCTACCCAAACTATCTAATCCTTTAAATTAGCTGGTATGATGTATTTCTTAAGGATATTTTAGGAACAACTGATGATTTTATTCAATAAATGCTGTATGTATGTACTGTTCTACACTGCACTGTAATTATGGTATAAAAATTGATTGGCCCGTGACAGCACTTATTGTAGTCATTTATGTAGAATTATACTTTCATTCTTTTAGCTTTCAATCACGTTGTACTTCAAACAGGGTGGTAGAGGCTAGCAGAATTCTATTAAAAATGGGAAAGCTAGTAGCACCTTTCTGTAGGTTTGTGCATACTTACACTCTCATAGTGAAGTATGAGAACTTTTGCTTCAATAGCTTTCTGTTTAAAGTCCCCCAGGGTTAATCCCCAAATATAATTATTCATATATCATTAAAGACCTAGATATTGCTTAAGGCAATGAACTGATCATAAAGCAAGTAAATTAAATAACCTCTTTATCAAAATTTGTGGTGTTTTTTGATATTTTTTTAAACTACCTTCTCAGAATAAGGAGGGCAAGTGAGGTGAAATATTGGCAGGTAATAAGTGATTGCGATAATACTTGCTTCTGTATTCAAGCTCATCTTTCTGTTGAGATTGGAGAAATCCTCTGTTCACTGATTGTTTCTTAAAGCTTTTATTTTTTACATTCTAAATTTGATGTCTGTTGAAAGAATAAAATCAGAGTCCAGGGATGGGCTTATCAGAGAGGACTTCTTTCCTGCTACTTAGACCTGATTGCCTAGATATCTTAGTACAGAGAGATGGCGTAGAGGTTCAGCTTATAACATCAGCTGCTGTGAATGGGTGGTCTGCTTCCATGCATGTCCTCTACGACACTTCTATCTTTGGAAGTGACTTCCATACCTGAGGAGGTGGAACTGAATGTGCTCCAAAATAATACACCATTTTAAACTCCACTTTTGTGTACAAGTTTGATCTTAAATAGGCCTAGAAAAAAAGAAAGGATGAGATTTATGCATTTAAATACACTGTGCATTCATTGTAACTGAGATGACATTTAATAACTTTTGTGAGTCAGGAGAGAATTGCATTATAGTTTAGTAAGTATGAAAATGGTGAGTCAAGACACTGATACTATCATTCGTCTGCAATTCCCCTGTCTCTTGTCTGTGCTAGAACACAACGAGGAGTTTTGGCTATTATTGCAGTGCTGCAGGAGGAAATGGCAGAATGCCACCATGACACAGTCTTGGCATTAACAAGCCAAGAGAAAGCAATGAAGTTGTATTTCATTCTCTGATGCTAGTTGGTTTCCATCTTCGTTGGGAGTCACTGCATTAGATACTGCTTGTTTTAAAAATAACTTGAAAGAGGCGTAGTATGTTTTTCAGTGCATGACATGCAGTAATACTCTCTTCTATATGTTGTTTAGGTCTGGGCTTAGCATTCAACTTACAGCCTGCCTTGACCATGATTGGCAAGTACTTCTATAAGAAGCGTCCCATTGCTAATGGATTGGCCATGGCTGGAAGTCCAGTGTTTCTGAGCACGTTGGCACCTCTCAATCAATTCCTCTTTAATGCCTTTGGTTGGAAAGGAAGCTTTCTCATTCTGGGAGGACTTCTTTTGAACTGCTGTGTGGCTGGGTCTCTTATGAGACCTGTTGGACCGAAAACAGTTCCCCCTGTGAAAAAAGATGTTGAAAAAGGCACAGGAGATTCTGCCTTGCACAAAAACAACAAGAAATCTTTTTGGCAAATGTTGAATAAATATCTAGATCTATCCCTCTTCAAACACAGAGGGTTTCTGATCTATCTGTCAGGAAATGTCATTATGTTTATAGGGTTCTTTGCTCCGATAGTATTCTTGGCTCCTTATGCCAAGCACAAGGGAATTGATGAATATTCTGCTGCTTTTTTGCTATCTATCTTAGCCTTTGTAGACATGTTTGCTAGACCTTCAATGGGACTCGTAGCAAACTCCAAGTTTATCCGGCCAAAGATCCAGTATTTTTTTAGTTTTGCTGTCTTGTACAATGGTGTCTGTCATATCTTGTGCCCTCTGGCAACGAATTACACTGGCTTGGTGATATATGCTGTATTTTTTGGGTTTGCGTTTGGAATGGTGAGCAGCGTTCTTTTTGAGACATTGATGGACCTCGTCGGGGCTGCCAGATTTTCCAGTGCAGTCGGACTTGTCACAATCGTGGAATGTTGCCCTGTGCTCATAGGCCCTCCTCTAGGAGGTAAGACTCTCCTTTATTACGTTTTTTCAGACATTACAGCATCATCTTACAATTCAGCGTTGAATTAATATAAACGTTTCTCTTAATGTTACTCAATGTTTTTGCCGTGTCTAGGAATGCAGGGTAGCAACAATGCACTGCATCAGTTATCTTTGGCTGTACATGTACAGACTCACATGAGATTCTAAAGGCATAGACTGCATGCATGGTCAATAGATTAAGAGCATATCTCTACTGGCCCGTAAATTCAGGTGATAAATGTACGTTTTCCTGGTAGCACATAGTGCTATTTTTGTAACTTTGATTTATGTTTATCCAGCTCCAATTTACTCTTTGCCAACACAGTTCTTACACTCCTAGACTGGTCCAGATTTCTCAGAGTGGCTTATAGTGGCAATTAGAGGGGCACTCACTGAAATTTACAATAGCAGCTTTACTTCATCTAAACTGAGATGACTGGCATTTCTAGAGAGAAGAAACCCACAGGGAGTTGCCAGAAAGGACAGGGTCATGCTCAGCAGCCAGGTCGGGGTGCACACATGGTGGGATTCCAGCGCTGTGTCATGGAGCGTTGCACCCTTGGCATGATTTCACACCACAGCCTTGCTAGTCCTTTAGCCTCCTTCTATAGCCAACTGCTGTGTGTAAAGCAATTCCAATTGTGAACTCAGTGAAAGGTGGTAACATTACCAACTTCTTTCTTTTGAGTGTAAGGGGAGCTTAAAGGGAGCCTAGGTATATAGCTTGGACTATATTTGTAACTTTGGGGCTTCTAGCACCAAAGATGAAGAAGAATCTTATCTAAAGTGTTTTCAGTTTGCTGGCATTTTTGACAGCATTTAGTAGTGCTGTTAGTAAGTTTTATAATCTTAACGTTTCTTTAAGATGATATGAGAGTCTAAAGAAATAGATGCTCAAATCTTATTGAAAAGTATTGATTAAATGGACGTGTGTGTGTGTTGCAGTGAAAGCTCAACAATATGAAAATATATATACAGTTAGATTACCAGCCTTGTGAACATATGCTATACCCACATAAAGAGTGCCACAGAAGTCAGTAAGATTGTGTGTGACTAAAACCATTTATACATATCAAAGTATTTTAAGGATTACTGACAGCGTTTCAATGAAAATAACGTTGTTGAGTGAAACTTTAAATATGTCAAAACAATGCCAGTCGCTTCAGTGCAATAATATTTGTGCAAGTAAATGTTTAATAGTCCTCAAGATATTCCATATTTCTCTCTTCTCATAACATATAAATTCATTTTGGTAGTGGTAGAACAAAATATATTCATCTCACACAGACTCTTCCTGTGCCACCTAGTGGGAGAGGGAGCCTGTGACTGCTGTAGTCCAGCCCTTGCAGTCAGGTTCTGAAACCAATATATTAGCTCTCAAGATATTAAGTCTAATATTTATGGAGCAATAGTGTATGCAACTACTTGTTTTTCAGTATATTAGCTTTACAGGAGTTTTAAAAGGTGTGTGTTTTTGCTATAACTGTATGAATAATTGATTTATCCTTTTAAGTAGAAGCAACAAAGGGGATGAACATCTGGAAAAGCTAAATTCTGGTTTTGAGTACTTCATATCCTGTAAAATATTAGGCTGAAGCAATGTTAATGCAGTATTTAATTTTTAATTATCAGTATTATGAGACTTTTCATCGATACAAAACCAGTAAATTGTACCATTTACACTAACAGATGAATTATACATTTGCAGTGTTATTTGAGTTTTTCCTAATACTAGGCTAGTGAAATAAAGAAAAGACCAAAATAATTTGATGGCTTGTAAATGTTTATCAGGCAAATAGGCTAGCGTTGTGGCTTCAACCCAGTAAAAGCATCTAAGTACATACTAAATTGAAGTGCGCAGGTTATCCTGTGAATTTTAATGATAGTGTGGCAGAGTTCAGAGCTAAATACTTGGATACATTCAAATGGTGATTTGGGAATTTAGAAAAAGTGGCTCATAAAGTGGAAGAACAGTTATATTTTGTATTCCTCGTCATGACCAAATTAATCTAAGAGCTGTGGATGTAATTTTTAGGTAGAGGCTTTGTAGTTCAAAACTCAGCAGTTGTGCATGATAGCTGAAGGGACAAGCCTTTCTACCTCTTTCATCAGGCACAGGAAAGTAAAAATGAAAAGCAGGCAGTTGATGCACAGTGACAGCAGCCTAAGAAGGCACATACCTCTTCCTTCTATTGTCTGTGTGCAGCCTCCGTGAGTGTCAGATAGTCACTCCAAAACAATAGGAAACAAAATTAGGAGGTGAATAAAATAATAAGGCAATGAAAGAATGAAAAAACTGTCTGTCATTATTCGTTAAGCTTTATTTTGCTCTTCAATATTTTATCATTGTCAGTGATTGCAATGATTATTACTAGCTTGACTAATACAGGTTTTGTTAGAGTTGCACTATATATGTTAGACAATTTGAACATGTTGAAAATGCTTTTCTGCTCCAACTTCAAAACCAAGCAATACATAGGTATGTCTCCTAGGTAAAGATCCAGATCATATGGAGTATTGTTTTCTAAAGACTTTTTCCTCCCTTCTTGTCTCTGCTTTTCAGGTTGGTTAGTCGATGTTACTGGTGAATATCAGTACATGTATTTTGTCTGCGGAGTGATTGTGATTGTCTCCAGTATCTGGCTGTTCATTGGCAATGCCATTAACTACAGGCTTTTGGCAAAAGAAAAGAAGTTAGAAGATGAGAAGCAAAAAGCACGGAAGAATGCTGACCCAAAGGAAGCAGAACCATTAACAAACAATGAGAATGAAGATGCTGCCAGCAGAGCTGATAAAGCTGTTGAAGATCCTTCAGAAAGAGAAACCAATATTTAAGCTACAATAGAGCTCAGAAGGTGACATTTATGACTTCCATTAGAAATATGTCTTCAAGACACAGGCCAGGTTTTGTGGTAATAATGATCATTCACAATATTGGATGGGAACAGATTTTTGCCCCGTGCCAAGACTTCAAGTTAAATTGCTATCTGCAGTTTATTTATTTCAATGACACAAAATTGAGATTACAGAGGTGGTGACTCCATGCAAATGATTCCATCAAACTATAACTCTGGACAATCAAGAGTCAGGTAAACTGTACTGTAAAGCCTTCCAATGACAACAGTTTTGTTTTAAAACTATATCTAATGCAAAAGTATCTCTTGCTCTTATTTGGGAAGATACTTTGTGTTCATCTTTAGAATATTTTTAAACTCTGTTGAAATAATCTGCCCAAACTGTACTTACCACTAATATTAAAAAGAGTATAAGCTCAAAGATTTGTTTCAAGAGAGAAAAGTATCTGAGTGAAGCACACTGAAACTTTTTTCTCTTTTCTATGCCCACTAGATCAAAAAAATACATTATGTCTGTATAAATAATTAAAATATGAACGTAAAATCTAAGGCTAGAAAATGAACAATTGGTGGGCACCATCTCTAAAATACAATAAACAGCTGAACTACAATATTCCAGATGTTGTTACCTCCTGTGATAGCCGACTACATTGTACTTCAAAATACACATTTGAACAGAAAGTATATTCAGACCTCATTAATTCAAACTAAGCTAAAATCTGCCTGTACATAAAAGGATTTAAACCCAAGATTTCATTGCTAACAAGAGTGGCAATTAGTTTGTTTGGCTGTGTATTGCTGTATGGCTGAAGGATCTCGACTGAACTGTGAAGTCTTCGTCATAAAGGGACTAGATTCCCAGCCTGCTGATGTTAGAATACTTACCCTTGGCTTTTGTGGCCTGAGTCACTTTCATGGCAATGACTTCAAAGTTGATACTTGGGTTTATTGGCAAGTCATTAGTTGTTTGATGTGTCTACTAAGAGAAGATTCAAGGTCTAGTTTCAGGTCTTTGCAGACAGGTAACTTCATACCAATTCCCACCTCCTTTTCCTGTGTGTTTAGTGAAAAGCTACTTCTTTTCTGTAGTGCTGGTTCAAGCAAAATTGCTGCAAGGCACATTGATAGTGCCAGTCTGGAAGCTTTGTATCAGTGTATCATTTTTGTGCAGGGTATTTGGTCTTGTGTCTGCAATTTCACACAGACACTTATATCACTCTTCCTTTAGGCAAAAGAAAGCAAAAGTCTACAATTTTACTTTACAAAAAACCATTTAGTATTGTACTTTAAAGCTAAAAGTGCAAGCTTCTGAAGATATTAAGTGAAAATATTTCTGTTCTATTTGTAGGTCAGGAAAGGTGCTATTTGTTTTGGAGAGATGCATATAAATGCCTCAGAAATTGTGAAAATTAAGGGTCTGATTCATAAAACATTTATGCACTGTTTATGCAGGATACACATACACTCAATTCTGGGAAAAGAATATCATTCAATTTAGCCTCTTAAAAAGTTGCAAATAGAATGCACAGATAGCTAGCTACATTAAACACACTTAGAAGTGCCAATAATAAAAGAAAATAAAATGTAAAACCCCACAGATACAGAAGTGCTTTTAAGAAAGACATTTCTAAACTACCGTGTTCAAAATTATCTTTTTCACACTTTTTCTAAACGTTTTGGTAGTGCTTGCATCTATTTTGCTGGTTTGTCATCTTATATACTATGGAGTTCCATAGGAATGCTGGACTTTGTCATTATCTCAGCACTGTTTTAGGGGAGAGGCATCATGAATCTACTCACAGCATGGTGCAGAATTTAATACCTACTTTTTAGCTAATTATATGCAGGCAAACCAAACATCTTCTACAAGTCCTGTAATTTTATAGGCGCAGCAGCAACAAAATATGTGCATTTCAGAGTTTTGGGGAGAAAATATGGGTTACGTGCTCAGATTTGGGCAGTGAACTGTGTAAAGGGGGATAGTTTAGTCCCAGAAAAATTATAGTTCCTCTCCGAGCTCCCTGATTCAGAGAGGAAATAAATATGTGGCACCTCCTTCCAAAATGTAGCCCTGCCAGCACCCCATGAGGTAAAAGCATTACTCTACTTTTGGCTCTGCAAATAGGCAGGGTGAATTCTAGAGTCTATGAAGGCCCTAGGTGCCAAGAGCCAGAAAGCGATGAGGAGTTTCATAGATGCTAAGATTTCATACAGCAAGGAATATGAATTATAAATACTGGATTGTGAAAGATGAACTGAAATTTTAGCTAAAGAGTAGTCATCAGGAACATCACTCGGCTGTTGACAGCAAGTGGTAGAAAGGCAGAGATTATTCGAAAAGAGATGAATATAGAGGCTGAACCAAAATGACTGAGGAAAAATTCTAGGTGCTTATTATCTCTTTGTAAAACACAGAGTGATTAAGAACACAAGGTAGAAGACAACAAGTATCAACTTTTGACTTCAGTCTGTTAAAAGTTGCTGTTGAGTAAATAAAGGACTCAGAAAAAGGTGATAAAAAAGAGTCTCAGAAAACATGCAGGCAACCTACCTGTTCTATGCTGGATCACAGAATATGATGCAACCTGACATAGGAAATAAGGGAAAAAAGAGGTTCCTTGAGCCATAGACACACCTGACCACCAGTAACAAAAATTATATTACTCTCTCAGAGGAAATAAAAATTTATACAAACACAACCCTCTGCAGAGATCCTATTTGTTCATCTCTGGTCAATTACATTAAAAAATAGTAGGAACAAAAAAGCTGCTTTACCACCATTCACCAGTGTGTGCTTTTTAATCCCATAAGTTAAAATGATGTGTCAGGCACCTGGAGTAATGTAAAATAGGAGGTGAGTCAAGTGAAACATTTCCTCTTTCATTACTTTTCCTCTTAATATTAGGAACAAAATAAAAACTAACAGAATACTCTTGATATTGCTGAAAATATTAATGAAGTTAAAATCCAGAGATGCCTGAAGATAATTGGACCCATATCTATGCAGAAACTGCCTGGAATTAAACAACTGTGTCTTCCAAATAAAAGGTCCTAAAGGGACAATTGCCTTGTACAAGTAGGTCTTATTTCTAAAAGTAATAATGATAATAAATTGCCTTGAATCAACTCTAGTCTGAGCACCAAAGTAGCAAAATTAGTATAACTTGCCTTCAAGTCCCTGAATATCACTCTTACTTGCACTGAGCCACAATTTATACTGCAGATCATTTCATCATTACATTTCTGTTTTCAGGATAATACCTGTGTATATACCATCTCTCTAGAGTTCTCTCTTTTGATTACCTCACCTCCAGTCTGCACAACTGCAGGGTCAGAACTAAGAGATGCTCCCACCCTAAAATGAAGAAATGTGTTCTCAAACTTCAAGACATAGCCACATGCATCTGTTATGCACTACAGAGTCTGTCGTTTCTATCAGTCAGTATAAAAGCAAATTGGTAATTGATCTTAATATCATTTATGCTCATGTGTACTTCATCCTTTTCATTTTTCTGCCACAATATCACTGAACCTAATAATCGTCTTGCTCCTACTTGATCAATCAAGAAAAATAATGGCAAAACTTTAAAATTAGTCGGAAGAGGCATAACATCAAAAATTTTTACTATTTAACATCAAGGTTAAATTCAAGTAGTTTCAGAGTACATATCCAGATACTTTTATCTCTTTAGGCTTCTTCTGACATCCTATGCTTTTGTAGCTGGAGGCTCCTTCTGTATTGCCATAACTCAAGAGGAAGACTTACCAGTAGTTCTCAATACTTTTTCAAGAACGTAGTTCACTCCTATGACCTCTCCCCACTGAACTGTGGTTGCAACTGTTGACAGTTCTGTATTTCCATTAAGTTAAGTTCACAAAAGTTTCTGCGTTTTTCTTTTCATAGGAAATCCTGTAGCATAAGTACTCAGACTACAGTCCTTTTATTTTAGGAGTGTGATTCATGAACTGTTTTGACATAGTTAAGGAAAGTCTTACTTTATCTTAAAATAGGAGTTTTTTAAATGATTTTGTCCTTATGAGAGGAAGTTTGACTCTGCTTACTGCAGAACTGAATGGCAGTGATCTCACTGACATCATGATTCAAATTTCACATGAATTTTAATGATCTTTTTGCATATCAGCATGCAGTGTGCTTGAAAACATTTGGCAGTGTGTATAGAATTGTTCCTTCCAGAGAACTCTTTCCTCTTGAAGGTTCCCAGCCCCATTCTCCATTTCCTTGTAAAGAATTTGGATCTGGAATGCGGCGACTTCTCTGAAATACTTTCTTTGTCATTCTTTTTTCCTCAAATGTCCAAGCAACATTTTTCACTTGCTGCTTTCAGGTCTGGATGGCTGTGAGTACGAGGAGGGGAGATATGATTCAGATACGTAATAAGCTTCAGATCCCACATACAGCCAGGTTTGGGGCAGCCATCAGGATTTCACCAAAGCCAGTGACCACTTTTATAGATGAACATATTGTAACTGACACTAACAATTTTGTCTATAACAAAATTGAATTGAGGCAACTTTTGTTAGTTCCTCTATAGATGACTATTTTTCTACTCACAGAGAGGAATGTAAAGGGAATTTTTAAATAATTATTTTCAGAGTTGACATATCAATTTTGACAAGGCTCTCTGGATTTTTTTGGGAGTGGGTGCTTTTCTGATATTTTTGCATATATATACCGAAAATGTTTGAATGTGTTATCACGTTGTTGATCACAATTTGCATAAGCATTACTATGTAATTTCAACATAATTTGCATGTTGTTGTTTTACAGTTTAAATTTTTCTTATCATCTACCTCTCAATCAAAGTTTGGAGACTTGCACAACCCTGGAAGAATACAGTCAACAAAAAACATAATGATAAAACCTGTATAGATTATTAGAAAGTCTCCTAAATATTTGAAGCTATTTACAGTTCTGTTTTTTAAGGCAGTGAATATTTATGACCAAATTCTTTTTATCAATTGGCATAGCTTTGTTAATCCCGAACACTTAACCCATACTGAGTTGCTTTTTACATCAGTGAACTGCTATAAAAACTCAACATGTCATTTAGATATTGAAAGTCTATTATGAGATACTGGCCCTACTTTCTATTTTATTTCTTTCCATTTCTGAGTTAGTGGAATTAAATGGAAATATTACATAATTAAGACGTCTAAACAGTTTTTAAAAATACTACAGAATACTTTGCATTTCTCTGAAAAAAAAGTGTCTTTGGTATAGAAATACTACAGAATTTTAGCTTGCTTTCCATTTGTGGGGCAGTTGAGGGAGATGGTCACAAGATGTTGGACTGGGGCTGAGGAATAATGTTTGTTCTTTTTATGCTCTTTACAAAATCAGAGATGATTGTTTCTTCAAAAATGTTCTTCCTTTTAGTCTGTAAACCCTTCTTGCCTTCTAGGATCTAGTACGAAGTCCACTGAAGCCAACATAAAAAAATCCTGTGAAAGTCAAAGAGCTTTATCAGACATTGGAGATGATGTGACTTCAGTGGAGGCATCAGCCTTGTTTTCTCCATGTCAAATCTCAGGAGTGTCAGATATAACACAGCAAATGCAGATTTTGTTGCAACTGGCACATTTAACTATGCCAGCACAGTATTCCTGATGAATCAGTCCCTAAATTAACGCACAATATGTATTATTTTAGTAGTCTATGTACATAAAGAAACCACACGATCATAAACTCTGAATGTAGATTATAAAATACAGAGGATATATTTAAATAAATATCCAAACAAATCTGTTT